ACACCACAAGCCGTACACACCACAGACCATGAACACCACAGGCCGTGCACACCACAGGCAGTACACACCACAGGCCGTACACACCACAGACCATGCACACCACAGGCTGTGCATACCACAGGCAGTACACACCACAGGCCGTACACACCACAGACCATGCACACCGCAGGCAGCATACACCACAGGCTGTGTACACCACAGGCTGCGCACACCACAGGCCATACCATACACCCTTACTAAGAGGTATCTCACTGCTTCCATTTCAGTCTCCTTCAGGAAATCCAAATGGAGAATCCAGCTACCATTTTTCCTGGCTGCCCCAGGAATCATTCATCAAAACATTCTCTACATCAAGAGATATGCTGGGGTGTTCTGTGCAGTCTCGAGAAGACTCAGCGCTCTCCCAGTGTCCTGCCCCGCCCCAGGACGCATCTCCACTGGCACTGGGAGTGCGTTCTCCCTGTTCCTGCCCCTGCACTGCCAACTGGAACCCTACACAGAGAACTCCAGGCTGCACCCTGACAGCACTGAGCCCTGCCAAGAGAAGCGGAATCAAATGGAACTTACAGCCAAAATCCCTGAGCCAGCATTCCGCCAGCCCCTGCTTCCAGAGGCACTGGGGAAAGGAGAACAAAGCTACAAGAGACCAGGGAAAGGTTAGGGAGAGAGCAAGGATCTTCCCTCAGGTGGGACCTCTTTGCGGCCTAACAGTAGTTTCTGGTAACCCAAGACCAGCAGACACAAATCCTTTTAATCAAGCGCATACCTCATCGTCCGCCGTGTTCCCTCCAGAGCAAACGGCAAAGTACTGAGCAGGAGGCAGGGCTCGGAGGCCCTAGGGGAAGGTACAGTGTTCCAGCTCCTGTCAAAACAATAAACAGCTGTTTCAGGAAGAGGGGGGCAGACAGAGCCCTCAGCAGCGGTCACAGGCTTTGTTTCCTCGACCCCAGGAAACGGGCTGTTGACCGGATCTGCATGCCAAGGCAGAACCGGTGCTCTGAGCCATCCTCGGACTCCCTCATCAAGGGGAAAACCAGAGGACCAAACCAGGTCAGGAGTCACAGGAGACCAGATGGCCACCCCTCCACATCACCCACTCCTGGGGAAAACTGGGAGCCATGCGGGACACAAGCAACCTCATGTTATACCTCCCAGGGACGGCCAGTGGAGACGCATGTGAGACGGCCCAGGGCAGATGCAGGTGAACGAGGACTTTGATGAGATTGCTACGTGTGGTGCTGAGAAAGCTTTGCCTCCACAGCCTGGCTCTGGAAGTCACACTGTTCTGTGGAACACTGTGCTTTAAAAAACAATGTGAGCCAGGTGTGGTGGCGTATGCCTTTAATCCCAGCATTCAGGAGGAAGAGGCAGGCGGATCTCTGTGAGTTTGAGGCCAACCTGGTCTACAGAGTGAGTTTCAGGACACGGGACAGCCAAAGATACTCAGAGAAACCCTATTTAAAAAAATAAAAAGTAAGAGAAAGTAAAAAAGAAAAAGAAAAAAGAAAGGATGGAGAACCATGTGAATCTCCACACAAAAGCCTTTACCGTACGAACTTGGAAAGGCCAGAGGCCACACCTGCTCCTGAAGGGATAAGACTTTTCCCTCCCCACCCTACTGGGGGCAATTTAAGAAGAAGGATTTCTGTCTAGGGCTTTTTTCTTTTTCTTTCTTTTCTCCTTCTTCTCAAGTAGCTCATGAACTCACTGTGTATCAAGGATGGAACTTCTGACCTCTTGCCTGCCTGTCAATAGTACTAGGGTGCACCACCACATCCAGCTAAGTGATACAAGGGATGGGGCCCAGGACAGCGTGCATGCTGGGTAAGCTCCATCATCAGCTGAGCTTTTCCAAAGGCCCATTGTTCCCAGCAGCACTGCAAATGGCACACACTGGCTCAGGCAGGGTCCCTGCCTCACTCCCTCCCCAAGTGGCTGGGACACTGCTGGGAAGTCTGGGAACCCTAGAGGATGGGAAGGGACCAATGCCAGACAGGAAGGAGTCAAGGCCTGGCCCAGGTCACTCAGCCTCCTCCTCCTGTTCTCAAAAGGAAGTGTCACGGCTTCCTCCGCTGAGGGCAGGAGCCAGCAGACCACCACCTTCAGGAACCGGAAGTTCTTCCTAACAGCCAACTTCAATGAGTCTGATGACATCCATTCGACCCACGGGAACACAGGCCTGTGACAGCCATTCTGCTCTCAAACCTACTCCCAAGAGATGAGCATCGGAACACAGCACATCCTGCACTGGACCCCAAGGCCCATCAGAAACGGTAAGTTGCCACCAGGTGCCACAATGGCATCCTATCTGTAACAATGAGAACAAGCAAGCTGCAGCCACGTCACATCAACAGAAAAACTTCTACACTCCGTACACGGCAAAAAGAACTGACCCAAAAGGATGTATCTAGGGTCAGGCATGGTGGTGCACGCCTACCCATGATCCCAGCACTTGGG